TGTGTTTGATTTTGGTTTTTGCTTTTTGCTTTTCATTATCGAGTTCGTTTGATCTGCTATGTATACGTACATATGTATATGTACATACATACATGCGTAGCTTACTACATCATGTGTACATTCATATATGTGTGTTTTGCAATAATTGGAATGCTTATATCAATTTATTTATGCAACAAAATTTTTATGCACAGTTACAAAATTTATTTACTCGTTTATTTTTCTATGCCAAATGGGTAAACTTGTATACAAGTGACAATTCGTTTATCGTGTAATACATGTACCTACATACATATGTATATATTTTATATTTGTTATAGCTACATACTATACTTACATCCAGGCCGGCTTTAGAGTAGCCAGTGTTGCCAGATTTTTTTTTGTAGCACATCCCCATTGCGAGCTCTGAGTAGCATTTAAGATTTAAGAGCGCCGCACAGTGTGCTTTTTGAACACTCTGGGCCGGTTGTTAAATGTCTGATTAGCACAAACCGGAGGTACTGCTTTATCGATCACATGTTATATGCATGTTGTCGAAATCGTCGATAATGATGTTTAAGCGGCAAGTAGTGATAACCAGACATTGAACAACCGGCCCTCTATGTATGTGCATTAATCGAAGCGCTTTCGATAGAAGCAACATTGTGATATTAAGCAGAATGGGTTGAAAGAAAATGTAGTAATTTATTCCCTTTCAAAAGGAAACTACATCAATTGTAAAACATACCTTCTATATAATTCGGATATATGTACATCCTGACCCTTATCATCCTCAATCCTTTCCAAACTGGAAATATTTTCATACATCCATATAAATATAAGTACATATGTATGTAAGTATATGTATATGTACATTTTAAATATTTTAGCTCTTTATGTTTCAATTTATTATTAAAAAAAAACACAAAACAAAAATTATGAGTGAAACTACCTTCATATTTTTGTATCATGGTCAATGTTGTATCAAGAGTATTCACGTTAAACTGTGTTCACATAAGGCAATGTGCACGTACTTGCAAATTAACTGTATATTGTAGTGTTTTATCGTCCTTCCTCGGAGAACGAGACATTCACACTGGAATTTCTGAATAAATCAAATCTTATCATTATTTCATAAAAATATAGCTTCCTATCTAAAAAAAAAACACATATAAATCAAAATTTCAAACTTTGTAGAACATTTATAAAATTTGGACGAATTTTAACAAATGTGGATCAAAATTTTAAACTTTTTAATCCGATTTTTAGAGTTGTTTTGAGTATGCAGTTTTTTAGGTGTTTTAAATAATTAAGGGGCAAGTTTGAAGTAGCCATGGCCTTATTTTTGATTTGTACCAATTTTTTGTTCGCGCATTTTCTTCTTGTATACAAAGTTTGTTTGAAATTTTTTTTTGTTTGAAGAAGATGTGCAACACCTTTCACAAAAAAAAAAAAAATCAAAAAAAAATTTGAACTTTGTTTTACTAAAATTGGATCGGCTACAAAACTGTATACTGACAACGTAATCTTATACGAAATCTCAAAATTTTAATAAAACTCTGTAGAATTTTACTAATTTTCATACAAAGTTTGAAACTTTGACTTACATGGTTTTGGTTAGACAACGAGCTATACTTCGATAAGAAAAATAATACACATTAAATAATCGGAAGGGAAATAGCTAAAGAATGCTAAAATGTCTCTTCCATATTTATATTTTCGCCACTGTATGTATGTAGTTACGATTTGCCTCTTCCGAAATTCCGCAGGTGCCAAAACTTAGAAAACTACATAGACAAAATTTTTATAAACATTTTTAAATTTCTTGAATTAGGTTAATGAGTTTTTGTTTACAAATTCGCATATACATACGTACATATGTATGTATATATGAACGTAATAGTAATAGCACGTATTGATAGTATCTATGTATGTATTATATGAAATAACCAAATATTTTAAACCATTTTTGAAATAGCAGACTCAGAAAAAACTTAATATTTATGCAGACAATCATAGCTTAATAAATTACATATACATATATATAAATCGAATCAATATTTTCAATTTAATATGTAGAAACCCGCTTTGTATTTACAAATATTCAAAATAATGTATTTTACACGATACATATACACTTTTTCACTTTTCGTGCGAATCTATTAGCTTGTAAGTTACATTGGTAGGCACTAATACAGATATCCATATATATCCATATATATATATATAAAAAAAAAAAAATACAAAAAAAGTTATCGAATAATTTTTACTTAAAGAACTGTAAATATGTTGCTGAAATTGCTGGACGTGTGTTAATGTGTTGTCGTTGTTGTTGTTGTCTTGTGGTTGACTTTGTTGTTGTAAATTAAATGTAAAATAAAACTGAGTTTCTGATTTGCACAAATACAATATGTAGCTGACCAAAATCGATACCGCTTATTTATGTGTGTGTTATTATTTTAGTTACTTGCAACGAAAAAAAGTGGCTTTTCTGTAGTATCGATATTGCATCTCGTTACCCAGCATCATAGTCCCTACCCACAAATCCATCAATCATCATATCAACAATAACAAATTAAATAATTTACAATTTTACATTTCTCAAATGAAACTATAACTGGGTAATTAAAAAAAAACATTCTTGTTCTTTCTATTTCTTTTCATTCTGTATTCTCTCTCCATCTCTTTCTGCTTTTACTCTTTCCTATGCGAAATCAACTCACACTTATTTGCCAAAATTAAAAAAAAAAAAAAAAAAAACAACCAACATATCCCCCAACCATTTATTCATTTAATATATATAACACTAATTCAAATCACCCAACTCTCAATTTCTCCACCACCATTGAATTGTCGTCGCCGGCCGACACATTTAAAATGACTTATCGAAAAAAATCTTGACGAACATACAGAATTTGAAGTTGGTTGGGAGAGCATAGAGCTAATACCGAATATAATACTGAATCCGGGCTTCTGTGAATCGGACGGACCACAGCCAGCGCAGCAGCCATACACGCGAACTATCATATTCGGCGAAGACGACGACAGTGATGGCTACGAGAGCGAGGAGTCCGATCACGAACCGACAATGGAGAAGTTTAAACGAAAGGTGTCGGTATTCTTTACAGGCCCAACAATAAGACGCATTTGAGTCAAATCGGATAAAGGCTGTGGCGAGGGCGACGGACGACGAGGGAACATTTGTTCAGCAGTCGTTTGCGGGGTTTTGCGCCGTTTATTTTTTAGATATACTAGCATAAGTAGAAGCATTTATTTTATATAATGTTATATTTTTGTGTGTAAAAATTAAATTTCTTTATTTAAAATATTCGCGTTCCAATACCGCTAGTATTTGGAGTATATTTGGCACACAAAAAGCTTTTTTTATAAATTTGATTATTACTGCTTCTTTAAAGACGCATAAAGATTCGCACATACGCAGAGTGGTTATGTCATCGAAAAAAATATAAAAAAATAGTTATATTTAATGAAAAACAAAAATAAATGAAAATAAAGTAAGACAAAAAGCGAGCTTTTGTTACAAAATATTTTATAAATTAATGCGTAAGCAAATTGTTACGAAATGCATTCCGTTGTCGTCACTACAAAAGGCCCTAAGTGAAAATGTGACTTGTGGGACATTTCATTCCAGAATATGATTATAACTATGTATGTCGTTAGAACTTATACCAGAGTCAAAGATATTTTTTAACCTTGGTAAATAACTAATGTATAAATTCTTTACAAAAAAAAAACCCAATTATTTCTAAGTTTTTTGTATTTGGTATTTGAATGAATGTGATTGGTGGGACACTAAAAACCCCTCAATGTTACCTTTGTGTGTACTCAAAGACGAATTTTTTGTCAAAACACTTGATTTTCAAGCCAGATTCTTTTGTTGAATAATGCTCGTATCTATTCTTTTTTTTTTGGTAGTAAAATACGTTTTTTTTTTTTAATTCTAAAAATGTATACTGTGTATAATGCGAATCTAAACTGATTTTGCGTATCTCCTGAACAATTTCAAAAAATGGACATGACACCTTTTCACCTTTAATACTGTCTTGTGAAAAATATAGGGACACAACATTTTTACCAGTTTGACTATTTTTATTTCGATAGTTTAATGTTTATTAATCTTTTATTAGAGTCTAGTTAATTGTATAGTACATAACACCATATATGTAAATCCACATTTCATACTTTGTATAGGAATTAAAAAAAAAAA